TTTTGGCTGGCAGTTACTCCCCGTGGATAAATGGAAAAGAAAGATCAAGAAAAGGACTAATTTATAGCTGAAATTTACTGTTGCCAGAACTGCTTTTGCTGCCAGCAGCTAATGAATATGGGTATGAAATTAAGGTGCAACTGTTTGGTCTGGCTTTGCCTTGCCAGAATTGAGTGTGTGCACCAAATACACTGTATGAACTGCTTTTAACAGGTCTGTTTCTCTCAACTGTATGGAGCAGAGGGTGACTCATGGAACAGACTGATCACACACCATCAGCTGTGTAGATGCTCTGAGGTTTTCTGTGACTTTATTAAATCATGAGACAGGTATATTTGGTGTCTGGAGATGATCTAAGATATTTAAAAACACAGAAAAGGCTACAGAAAAAATTTCCCTTCATGGCTAGAATTCTTTTTTAAAAGTTTAAACAGAAGCAGCATTCATATTTCAGTCTCAAGATGTTTTATATCCTAGAAATCCCTTAATCCCCTCACCATGCCAATATTTTGTAACTCTAAAGTAAGCAGAACATTATTTCAACAATAACAATGTGAAAGGATATCCCTGATTGCATACTGTGTAGCCATGGAGGTAACATACTGCACCTGTGACATATACTGGGCTAGGATAAAAAATTAGAATCCCTTCTGCAATTTGGGTTTGCATCTATTTCCCACCTCAGACTTAAAAGAAAGCAGGTCATCTCATCTCCACAGAACGTAACAAACAGGACTTAACTAGGACAAGACATGCTATCCCCAAGCTATAATCAGCAAGTGCTTTGAGCATCTGGCTAGATGTCCTGTCATGGCAGGCATTGAAACCCTTGGTTTCAATTTGGTTTTGTGTTTGTCTTGATGATACAGTGTAAACTGCTATACTGAAATGGAAAACAAGGCAACCTGTTGCCTCACTTTAAGTTTCCACACCTTCCTTTTATCAAAAGTTCCCTCTTCTGCCACATGAAGTTTTGATAAAGTGGGATAACCTGAAACACTCAGGCCGGCCAGCTCTCAGGCTGCTGCTTGTCAATGTTGGCCAGATTTCTTTCCAAACACCCATATTTTGCAACACTAGGCTTCAAAATAATCACATTATTTAGGAAGGAAGTGCCCTACGATCTGAAACGGGATGTTTCTGGCATCTCACAGAAACCACCACCATACCCCACCCCAAAACTCACCAAGCAAACCAAACCCAGCATTTCGGGTGGCAAGACTGTGCAGACTACGGTAGGAAGAGTATTATGGCACTTGCAGTAACAGACACAAACAGAACAAACCCCTTCCTATTTGGGAACCTTTCCTGAATTCACTCATCATCAAACATGCTTAAAGATAGAACTGAGAATATTTTAAAAGCATAAATAAGCAAGTTAGCAGCAAACAGAATTAGAAAACCCCCAAAAGGTTATAAGTACCATCAAACTTATTTCCTAGGTCTTAAACCGAATAAAAGCTGCTGCCTCTCAGGACAGGATCTTCAAATTAGCTGGCAGGAAGACTGGAAACACAATTTGTGCTTCCTCCAGCTTCTATCTGCAGCTGTTTAGAAAGTTAATGCAGCAAATGACATTTGCCCTTCTAGCCTGATGAGACAGAAATTGCCCCTTCTCCTGTTTTTATTTGTAACTTGTAATTCTGCACAGATGAACATATTCACACAAGGGATGTGAATAGGTTAATCCCCATTTTTATAGATACCAGGCATACAGCTCACATTACCACTGCTTTTAAATAAACATCCCATCTGACATAATCAACAAGGAGTTTTGAGACTTTTACAATGTCATAGCAGATGCAAGTATCCTTTATTATATATACATATTAGTAACAGTGCAATCTCTGCTCTTAACATTCCAAAGACATCATACACAATCATTAATGGCTGGTTAAACTGCAATTTCCCTCCTTATTTTGTTGGAAGATGTCAGGCATTTGCTCAGCACATCACAGAACACGGACTTCTTCGATTTGTATTCCTCTTGCTTTCTTCACTGCCTGCAAGTTCCTACAGTTCTTTAATTGGATTCTAAAGCCATTTCCATGTATTTAAAAATTAAATATAGTCAACCAGAAGAAAATGGTCAAGTGACATTTTGCCTGCCAGTAGATGTCTTTTTCAGCTCAGAAAGGTAATGAGATATCACCTGATCATACCAGTTTCTTGCTGTTTTCAGGTTCTCAGACCTCATGACAGGAAACTGCCATTTCACTGATCTCTCTGTTTTCCTGAAGCAAAATTACATCACTTGGAGCATGTGAATTTGGTTTTTTTTGAAAAAGAAGTGAAAATTATGTTTTTATTATTAACAATGCAAAAGGTAACTATAAGTTAATAAAATAGCTACAATAATAGCTAAAATAATTAGTTTTCCTACTAATCATTAATGGCAAGTAGTCCTTATGAAAACTGAGTAATTATGAAGAAATAATCCAAAAGGAATTGAAAAACAAGGTTTGTGGGAGAAAACAAAAATAATGGAAAAATGCAAGTAAACAGAAAATACAAATGGAAGAAAAAGTAGGAGACACCAAAATGGCACTGCACAAAAAGTGAGAAGTGATCATGAGACATGATATAGCCAAAAATGAGACCAATGAAGTTTGCATAAAGCATCATTTTAGAGAGCAGAAAGTTATTTCCCCTCTTCATGGGTCTGGCTACTACTTCAGAATATTATTTCAGTTTTGTATTGCTGTTCCTGGGAGTACTTTTGTTTTGGGTTTTTCTCACCTGGCCAGAACAAATGCCATCAGCTTCATAAAATAATGCTTATTATTAAGGCATACCTTAAATACACAAACATATGCATGTTTCATAAATAAGAGTACAGGATTGAACGGCGAAAGGTTTTCAAGGACATACAACCATAGAATCAACTGAGTTGGAAAAGACCTCAAAGATTATTGAGGCCAACCCTACCACGGTTACTAGGCCATGGCACTAAGTGCCACATCCAGTCTCATCTTAAAAACCTCCAGGACAGTGAATCCACCACCTCCCCGGGCAGCACATTCCAACATTTGTCCTTGGTACTATCAAATATCTCGTATCTGCTTTTGCTTTTTAAGGTTGAGCCAACATTAAAAGAAGTGTGTATGACATGAAATGTCACACACTTTGAACACATAAATGAATGTAAATATTTGTGCACTACTCTGCAAGTGCAAGCTACACAGAGAACTGAACTTGCAGTTTAAATTAATCTTCAAATACTGCATTTTAATATCCTATACAGTATGCATCCAGATACATACCAGATACAACCTATAGTTTAAATATTTGTAGTTTAAGTGGATTTAACACCAGAACTTGAAGACTGTGAGTTATGAAGTCACAGACAAGGTTAATTTTATATGGTGTGTAACACAGATCTCAATTTATACAGCTTTTAGTGACATTCTTGCAGAATCTTGTAAGATAAAGAATTTAAGAGTCTGCTCCAACTCTGTGCATTTTTGACACCCACTAATTAAAATTATTGAATCGTTTAAATCAATTCCACAGAAATGGTGTTTCCACCAGCAAACAGTGAAGTCTGAAATTACTTTCAGTATCTGTCAAAACCAATTGCAGAACCAGCAGCAATGACTGCAGCCACCTAGATTAGAAAATGAACATCAAGCCCAGTATTTACACCTGTTAACAAAAGTAACTTGGTTTTTAGAATGTGTAGGTAACTTATTAGAAAATCACTTTTTGAAAGCAAAAGCAAATGGAAACAGGTTTAGAATAACATAGTTTCTGTTCTTTTCATTGGAGATTTTTTTATATATCTGAGTTATTAAGTTTATAATATTGCTTTATGATATGGTAATATTGAATTTGTAAGACCTTGCTACTTCTGCCACCAATGATAAAACTGGGCATTTTATAACAGAGGTAAGATTTGGTTCTTCACGCTCATTCTGTTCTATTAACTCAGTACCCATGAGGTTATTTTTAAAATTCCTATAAAGAAGAATATGAAAAACATTAGTTAACTGACTGTAACATTGCTTTAAAATTGTGTTACCACATTTTAAAAAAATAAGTAAAAATTAGTTTTTATTTTACATATCGTCTGAGCTTGTCATTATATTTTTTCATACAGCAACTGTGAAGATTAAAAATACTCTTGAGCAATCTTGTGTAACTTATAAATTGTTTTTCCATCTGAAGGTGGGAGACTCATCACGCACTGTTAAAAAACAAGACCAAATTAGTCACACAGCAACATTTGGATCCTATTTATAAACATCAGACAATCTCAAACCTAACCTGCACATGCACATGTATATCTACACCTGTAATTTTTTATTAGAACTATGGAAATATTTTCCTTCAGGCCAATGTTCAGTTTTAATGGAAGGTGATAAACATTAACTGTTTCACAATGTAAGCTACCAAGATAGAGAGTGATTAATAAAATGGGTTTAATGATCATTGAATCATAGAATCATAGAATCAACTGGGTTGGAAGAGACCTCAAAGATCATTGAGTCCAACCCTACCATGGTTACCAGACCATGGCACTAAGTGCCACATCCAGTCTCGTCTTGAAAACCTCCAGGGATGGTGAATCCACCCCCTCCCTGGGCAGCCCATTCTAATGCCTGACTACTCTCTCCATAACAAATCTCCTAATATCCAACCTAAACCTCCCCTGGCAGGGCTTGAGTCTGTGACCTCTTGTCCTCCTGCTGGTTGCCTGGGAGAAGAGACCAACCCCCACCTGACTCCAACCTCCTTTCAAGGAGTTGTAGAGGGCAATAAGGTCTTCCTGAGCCTCCTCTTCTCCAGGCTAGACAACCCCAGCTCCCTCAGCCGCACCTCATAATCCTCTGGTGATCCTCTGGTTATTCGAAGTTGAGAATATTAAACTTTCTAGGTAGTAAGAAATCTGAGGTAGCAGAGCAGTTGTTGCATTTTCTGAAATTTCTAAACTTTAGAGGAAAAAAGTCTGTGCTGCAAAATTAAGAGCAGCCCAAATATTTTTATGTCTTCATCAGCTGTGATGTGAAACAATGACCAAATTATTAATATCCAAACATGGGAGAAAGCTTACATGCACATATTGTGCCACATGCCTGTTTTTAAAACATTATTTTACTGTTTTAAGTAAGAAAAGCAGATCTGTAAAGGCAGCATCACTCCAAACTGAAGTTATACAAGTTATGTACCAACAAAAACTGCAATCCCTCGTATGAAGTGGAAAATGAATGCAGCAGGCAGCATATGGCCATGGTTTGCATCGAGTAGCTCTCTTGTAAGGCCTGTCACATTCACTACCGATACTGACAAGATATTCCTCTGGAAAAATATTTTGTGAAAATTAAGCAGTGTTATGACTGCAACTCAAGTCTTCTGTAATGAGAACAAAACCTGAAGTGCTGCAACTCAGACTATGTGGAAAGGACATCAAAGGATATCAAAATCAAATGAGCCAGTACCATGAGTACACAACCATTTGTATGCTACATGCTCAGAACCAACAGTTTTCCTTAACAGATGTCCTTAACTTGTACTGAAAAATGGACAAAGGTCACATGATGTTAAGTGTTTATTATAGATTTGGGCCTAAGCTTACATTTAAAAATTCAGCAACTGTTTTCACACTGCAGAGATCAGCGCAGAAAACCTGTAAGTATTCTGATGAGATTGCTTTCCTCCTTCTCTGTGAGCTCAAATGGAAATTCAGAAAACAAAACAAACCTAAAAAATTCAGAGGGCACTTCTTGTGCTTCCTGGAAGGCAGAAGCATGCACCTGAATAAAGGACCTCCAACTGGAGTACAAGAGGCATAATAATTATTCTGATTAGTATCTCTTCTAGTTATTTAAATGTTCTAATAACTTCAAGTAGTTAATACTTTGGGAACAGATAACCGACTGTATCTGCTATCTCTTCAATTCTGAGGCAAGCTGAGCTATTTTTGCCCAGTAAACATGATAAGGGTGTTTTTGGAAAAATAAACAAATGAACAAAACCTTAAGTCAGTAGCTCACTCAAACAAATTAATTCCTGGACATTCAAGATAGATATACACAGCCTTTTGCAAGGAAGAGTGCAAGTCTGCCTTTACAGAGAAAGTTAATTTATCCACTACTTAATCTAAACAGAAAATGCTGTTGCTTGAGCTAGTCTGGTAGTGAAAGGAATGGATAAACAGTCAACAGCACCTGATGCCTTTGGGGAATCCATTGGAGCCAAACTGGAGAAATGTGTAGGTCAATAACATATATCAATAACCAAGAACTGAGAGCAAATTTAAAAGCTGATGCAGTAAGTATCATATTGGTAAGCTTCTACGGCATTCTGCACAAAATAAGCTTAAAGTCATCATTTTCTGGACTTCAGTAATGACTGCATTCATGTGACTCTAGTCTATTTTCTTTGAATAAAAAGCAAGTCATTATTATAACAAAAATTAAGTCTCAATTGTTCAATTAGTACCTAGCAGCTGTTAAACAGCTGTTAAAATAAACAGAAGGTCTAAGTTGAAAAAGTTACACTGATTCTATGTTGTCACTCAGGTTGGTAAATGCTGAAAATTTGAAACAGCTGTAAATATTTGTGTAATTATTGACTTAGAAGTAGACAATTCTGGGTGCAGTTATGTAATGTACAGGAAGAAATATTTTCCTTAGTTTCTGGCTGAATAACATTTCCACATGCACATGCCATTACGGAAATAGAATACTTGTCACTAAGAGTAAAGGCACAATGTAAAAACAGTAAACTAAATACAGCTGCTCTACTTAGGTACTGTACTAATGACAAATTGTAACTATTTGCCCTGCTTGATTTTAACCATCTCTAGATCACATACACACAAAAATGTGCATTCAGGAAAGGCAGAAACTGAAATGTAAACCCATAAAATGCTATGTACGTGCACACTTTAGTATGAATTTCATAAAATACACAAAGGTATAAATGCTACTGTTAGGAATGTCATCCATGTATGTATTAACTAAAAATTTGCAGGTATATATATTGCAGTAATCTGTTCTCTAAGCATGTCACAATTACTCTATAAAATATTTTCTAAAAGTTTGGAAATACTGCACTATATACTACTCCTAACTGTCTGAAGGAAAATTTGCTCTAGAAAATAAGGCATTAAAATACAGTGAGAAATAGTATACAGAAAACCAAAATGAAAATAAATAACCCTCCTTTCACCCTCCATCCACAACTTACACACTTTTCCTTCTTTTTCCAACTTCTTCAAGTGGACTAGGAGGTTACTTTCTGCTGCTGCAAGTAAGTTTTCAGGGATTTCCTAATGGAAACAAAAATAGGCATTTTGTATTTGTTAAAATATCCCCCAATTGTTTTTTCAATATAAGGAACTCATGGTTTATTACCACAGATTTTCCTTTTCTGAACTGCTGTATAGAACATTCAGTTATATAACAGAAAACTGAGATGACTAAATCAATTTTACAGCAGTTAAACTAGTAGTCTAACAACACATTTTTGTTTACTTTTACTCACTTTTTGCATTATCCATTTGTATTATACAAACTTTGGCCAGCACTAAGAAGACTACTCTTCTGAGCTTGGTCTGTACTGAGTTGTCAGTGTAGCTGAGTATTTTTAAAGACAAATTTAAGATGCAGTTCTCCACAGATACCTATCACTTCTATTCCATGACAACATTTGCATCCTAGAGCAATTAGCATCTGTAAATGAGTAAACAATTTAAAAATACAACAGCTCCAGGAAGACAAAACATATCTTAAAATTTTTCAATGCTCATTAGGTAAAAACCAGTAATATTGGCTGCCCAGAGAAGTGGTGGATGCCTCACCCCTAGAAGTGTTCAATGACAGGGTAGATGGGGCTCTGGGCAACCTGGTCTCATGGAAGGTGTCCCTGACCATAGCAGAGGGGCTGGAAATACATGATCTTTAAGGTCCCTTCCAACCCAAACCATTCTATGATGATTGCTCAAAATCCCCCTGCTTCAGCTCTTATCATCCTACAAGTAAAGCTCTTTTTCTTTCTTGAAAATTAAAAGGTTCTCTAAATAACATGAGCATAGTATGAAAATTCACTAAAAAACTAGTGAAATAAATTGCAAAACATTAAAATGCTGTCAAAGCACACACTTTTTTTGTGTAATATAAAAATTTAGTAGTTCTGAAGAAATTCATATCAAATAATGTAAGGACAAGTGGTTTGTGATTTACAGAGACACAAGAATGGCTGTATCCATAAAAACTAGTTGATCAGGCAGGAAACCTGCAGAAACTGAACTGCCACAGGTACATCAGCACTGCAGAATGCTCAGTGTGACACAGTCATTCTTCTGGCAACTGGGGATCAGCAGAACCATCATCAGTTGTGAAGCTCTTACAGACCTATTCACAGGACACAGTCATCGGCAACTTTGACACCTTCCTCCAAAGGAAATGCTGTAACTTATCTCAGCTTGCTAGGAAGGCACAAATTACAGAGGCTACATGAAGAATGATGAAGTGCCAAGAAAGTACTCTTACACCTGTCTAACGACACACACAAGCTACCCAACTTCTGCACCACAATATCCACCTCTGTGGAACTGCAGTTTACCTGCAACCTCCTGCAGACTGATAGACCAGGAACTAAACGTTTTAACCAGTCTTCAGGAGATGCCCAACACATGTTGGCAAATCAATGACTAACGGTTATGTCATACTTTTCACTCAGAACCAAGAACTACAACTTTATTTTGGCTCGGTCCGATGAAGCTCTGCTTCAGAGCATCAAAATAATGAAATAAGAAGTTTCTAAGCATCATCTGGTCCCACTCCAATGAAATGCTTAAGCAACACAATTTAAATGCACAGTCATATGTGAACCCTGAACAAGTAGAAACCTTTTATTTTTTCTCTTTTAAAAAGCCACCATGGTCTTCACTCAAAGACTTAAAACTGCTACATACAATTGTATGAACATAACCTCAATTTTCTTTTAATCAACAATTACCTTGTATACTATCTTTACAAGCTCCGAAGATGTATATGATTTTCCAGTATTCTTCTGGAAAACATTTAGAATTTGCTGTTCACGTGCAACTCGGTGAGAAATGTAGTTTTGGATTCTGGTATTTGCATCACGTACTACTGGGCCATGACCTAAAATCAAAACACATACACCAGAGCACTATTATTACTAACCTTGGAATTAACAATGCCATTAAATAATTGAAACATTCTTATATAAACTGGTAGATTTAAAAGCCCTAAGAAACTATGGATAACTTTACATATCACCCTGACAGTATCCTTGATGTCAAATTGTCAGACAATCTTTGAATGTTTTGGGGGGAGGGAGGGTTAGGTTTTTTTAATGTAAATAGGCCAAAATTAAGTTTGAATGTCTCCATTACAGTCTGCATTAGGATGGAAAGGAAGAATTAGTATACAGAAAGTCTGAATGAGGAAAGGGAATACTTCAGATGGAACAAGGAAAGCAAAGGAAGACTACTTTAGGCTGTTAGAAAAAGGGAAAGGAACATCTGATCTGCTGAACAGATTAAAAAAATTATATTCAGATTATATTATCTCTGTTTGCCTGCCTCCCCTGTTCCAAAGCATATTGGTACTGATGATTTAAACTGACACTGGCCTTTGAACAATAGTGGCTGATGGAAAGGACTCACAGATTACTGTCCTGTTGTGGGACTAGCAAACACCGGGGCGAGAGATTTAACACCTTTAATTGTGACAAATAAATTTTCCAGGACAGATTTTCAAAACTGATTCATATACTGTATTTTATTTGCTTAAATACACTTTCATAAGTATGATCAAAAAAATTAACAGAAGACAAATCTGAGAGTTACAGGCACAGAAATTAATGTTTTACCTATAGAGAAATTTACTTGCATGAATATTCATCACATGCTTTTTATAGCAATGTTTCCTATTTCTTTGCCTGTATACCTCACCTGAAGTAGCAGCAGCAACTTCCAGCTCTGCCAGTCTAAACTCCAAGTAATTTATAAAAGGGGTAGAACAGAAACTACTGTAAAATATCATATCTTTCTTTTAGAAGTTATTTGGTGTCATCCAAATCAGAGAGTTTCTTTCGAGGTTCTCTTGACTATTGAAAAACCCAACACCTTATTCTTTACTTGTATTTTTAGGTTAACTGACTAAATGGGTTTTAGTTTTGAGGCTTTTTAAATTAAAGCTTATTTTTCCTGAGGATAGGCAGCTTATTAAAAAAGAACGACTAATGTTTCATGTTTTGAATATATGTGAAATCAAGTGTCAAAGGAATCTATCCTTTACCAAGTCAAAATATTTATGCATATCTCAACTTATAGACTCACTTCAGCAGATCTGAAATTACTAAGTATACATTGAAGCCTCCTTTTTATAGTATTATAAAAAAGACAGGTAAATATAAAACTATACTGACATATGCATAGATATTTAATGATGTCAAACATATTTAGTCTGAAGCTATTGTTCCTTACAAAAGAAAAACCAAATAGAACAGTATCTCTATTATATACTATTTAGAAAAACAAAACTTTACATTTAGAAGAAAGACATTAAGATACATAGAGCAGAGACTATAATGGTCACTGTCCATCCTCTTGCATTCTCTAATGACAGAAGTCTCCTTTAAGGAATCAAAATTAAGGCATGCACATGGAATCACAAGGCAGTCTTAAAACCTGTCCCTACTCTTTTGAGGGATTTAATTGACTTAGACTACAAGACCAATGTCAGTACCTGAAATGGAACCCACATTTTGCAAAGTTAAATACATCCACTACATCATCTGATCCACAGCCATTTTGTATACAAGCACATACATTAAAATGGTGTCAGAAAGTTTGGATCCAGATGTGGATCTCTCCCATCCATCATTTTTCAATAAATGAATTAATACCTGAATAAATGTTAAATATTTCTGAGCATATGAGAAGTGCTCTCAAAATATGACTCTTTCCATGAATTTGGGCTTTATATCAGTTTCATATTATTTCCTCATAACACACTGTGAAGTAATAGAGTCTTACTTTAAATTACAGCACAAAGGATAAAATTTAAGAAAACAATTGGCTCATGAAATTCTGCACAGATTCCTAACTCCAGTATGTTTTTTTTCTGTACTATCAAGGAATGTGGTTCATTATTACAGGATGGGGAGCCCTCTGCTGACTGAAATGCCCTTTTCTAGTCCCAAGGATTCTCACCAAATATTGGCTGTAAATACATGTCACGAATATTCTGCCTGAGTCATTTCCACATTAAAATTTAAAAGAGACATGAAAGGGAAAGGATTGGCTAAATTCAGATCCTGACACCCAGGTAGCAGTCAGCTTGTTAAAACAGATTCATCTAATTCTGAGGCTGCCACGTGAGTGCTAAAGCACGGATGGGAAACAGAGAAACAGGTCAAACATTAGAAAGACCTAAATCTGCAACACAGACAAAGTACTGAGCTTATATACAATGTATTGGTAAAACAAAATACCTTCAGCTATAGTTAGCCAACAGGATAGACAATTATTCTGATTGGGCAATAGCCATCTCTTACACAACTGTACATACATGTTGTGATGCATGGATGAAAAAAGAAAGTTAGCTCCAAACCACCTCAGTCACTGCTTGTCACTGAAGAAGCATAACATCAGCCTGGCTTCCTAACTGCAGGTACAGTATGAACACAGTTACAACAGCAACAAACAGTCACAGATAAATGGCACAAATATTCAGCTTTGGTGAATGTGTAATCTAGGTATGTAACCATTAAGAACAGAGTGAACTGCAACTGACAAAACTGATAAACTAAGTAGAATTTGGCATATATGAGGTTTTGGAAGGCAGAAATTCAATTGGAGGAACAGACTGTGTTTTATAGGTATTTAAGAAAGAAAGTAGAACATTTGATTGATCAATAGATTGAGACACCTGAGGCTAAAATATTGTTAGTTTTAGCAGTAGTCAAGTCAATAAGTTAAGCCAGACACTATTCTTTTTACATCAGCCTCCATATCCATGGAATATCTGTAATGATGTTTTTCTTAAATGGCATTTTAATGCTTAGATCTTACAGCACTTAAAGGACACCTACTTCAAAAGAAGGCTATTTTAAGCGTGAACACGAGAGATCCGGTTATGTAGGCTAAACATAGATGGTTAATGGAGCAAGACAGAACTGGGAATGTAGACACAGTAGCTCAGAATGACAAATTGAAGAAGATGAAACAGAAGTAGTCAGAAAAAATCCTGAGAAGTAGCTCTGGAAAAGCAAATGAGGAGCTTAAGCCTTGGTTAGACAATGAATTCGTAAAATGCAGTCTTATCAAATAGACACGTGGTTTGTATGAAAAGTAAATGTATTCCCAAGGTTTGGAGGAGAGGACAAAAAAATAAAGGGAAGTCATAGACTGAATGAATTGGAAACTTATTTTTGGAACATGATGTTTGGGCTCTTGGCTCTTGTTCAAATTTAAGCTAAGTCATTAACTAAAACAAGCATTTGTCAGTCCTGCAGCTTTTCAAGATGAATTTGTAATTCACCTGTGCTGCAAAGGACACATCTCTCTCAAACATTACTAGGTTACTCATGGTGGCAGCGTATGTGGGGATGAAAAGGACCAAACGAACGACGATTACTTTTTCTTCCAGGGTAACATTAAGGCATATGGATAAGAAAACCAAATTTGCTGTGTGATTCCAACAGTGAAAGATTCCAGCCTCTGAAGGCCTTGGCCATAGAAACACAAGATTCACCCTCAAATGGAGAAATTTCAGGAAGGAAAGATACCTATCACTAACAATTTTTCAAGTCTTGCAAACCACCATGCCATAAAATCCTCTTAGCTTAGCACTGGATATATATTAAGAAATGGACCAGAACTGTTACATCAGTAATGGGGTTTCATTGTAGTAAGAGTTCTCAAATTCTTAGAGGAGGTATTTAAAAACTACACAGTAAGAGAGCAGTTAAAAATAGAACCACTTACCTGGATATATCAAATCTGGTTTCATTTCTAACAGCCTTTTCAAAGTTTTCATGTAATCATACAGGTCTTCAATTACTGTTGTTCCTTCCCCTAAAATACAGTCACCAGAAAACACAGCATTTTCTTCTTCTAGATGCAAAATCATATGATCATCAGTGTGTCCTGGTGTGTACAAAACTCTGTTTGAAGAACAACAACAAAAAAAGCGTAAGTTTTTGATACAGCATATATGCTTCATAGAAACAAATAATTATAAAATCATACACTTGAAAAGCAGTCCAGAGTAAGTACCAGAAAAAACTGACCAAAAGAGGCTGAAAAGTTGATGTAACCAGGCTATCACTTTGTCTAATCCCAGTCCATTTCCTTATACCATGTACAAAACACACATCATCATGCTTTTACTTACCTGACACATCATAATACAAGTGCATTAATGGAGCTGACTAGTCATGTAGAATTTGTGTTACAGAGGGCTTTACTCTGAAGCTTAAAAAAGAAAATTTGATGTTATTTCCAGATTGAAAAGCGTGAAGTTCTTGACATACACCTTGCCCTTAGCAAGAGAGGATGAGGATGATGTTGCTAATTCTTTTAACAATGAACTATAAACTTCTGGACCCAACCCAGCTACAGTTCTGTCGCCCAAAATTTATTTTTCCCTGAAAGCCCCATGACACAGTGGAGCAGAGCTGTCAAATACAAAGAATTATGGCCTTTTTAGCTGTTCTATGTGCAGATCATTATACACCTGAATGGTAAGGATTAAGGACCCACAGCTTGAATGAGCATTACATTAGCAAAGGGCAAAGGGACAGTGGATAAGTATATAGTATATGGTAACCTGAGCTGCCAAGGAGCTGCACTGTGGTATCCTTCCACTGTGATTTCTGAAAGGCAGAAGGCCTTATGCTGAGGTTAATTCAGACTGAAAGTGATACAACTGCAACCAGCATCACTGCTGAATTTCATCAGCATCTTCTTGTTAATGGCAGATGCACCAAAGCAGTGACTGGGAACAGGCAGAGGTGGTGCCAAGCATGGTGCACAGAGCAAGGTTAACCAGCACCCAGCCACAGTGATACACAGAAGGATTGGGAGGCCACAAGTGCAGCACCATCCTGTGCAATGACTTCCAGCTCTTACTGAAGACTAAGTTCAGCAGAAGGCAGGTGAGGAATCACTCTGTGCAGTCAACATTAAAATCAAGCTGATGGGTTGTATCTTGCCTTCGTAGGAAGTGCTATTCTCTGGTTCTTGATGAAACATTACCAGGAAGCCTAACCACATGGAAAAGTAATGGAAAAAGAACCCAAGATTGCCTGGCACACCTTGAAAACTTGAAGGTCACTAACTTAAAATTTAACATGCAGATACTGCTATTTTGGAATCAGTGGTGGATCTGAGAGTATCTTTAAAGTGCTTTCCAAATTAATCAGGTGAGAATACCTCCTTTTAACCAAGCATGTTTGGCTGTGTTACCCCTGTCATGACCCACCAGTAGGGGATGTGATGTTCATTATAAATTCTTGTCATGCTGAACAAAGACATTGGAAACCCCTATGCTTTATGGTATAATCATCTTAACTCTGCCAACCAGCCCAATATTTGGTCTCAAAGGTGTTGGCTAGCAACTCCTTAACTTTTACAAGAGACTTCAACAAGCTTCCAACTCCTGCAACAAACCTGAATATGGAGTAAGGGGTAGAATATGATAGCCACACTTTGCCAAGACAAGAGAGAAAGAGAAGATCACCATCCCTTAGATTCTGTGTTGGTCCAGTGTGCTGGTTTGAGCTGGAGTAGAGTTAAGTTTCTTCATTGAGGCTAGTATGAGGCTATGTTTGGGTTTTGTGCAGAACACAGAGTTGATAATGCAGAGATGTTTTTGTTATTGCTGAGCAGAGTTTACACAGAGTCAAGGCCTTTGCTGCTTTCTGTACTGCCACGCTGGCAAGGAAGTTGGGGATGCATGGGAGATTGGGAGGAGACACAGCTGGGACAGGTGACCCAAACTGACCAAAGGGATATTCCATACCATATGACATCATGCTCAGTATATAAGGTGGGAGGAAGAAGGAGGAAGGGGAGACATCTGGAGTGATGGCGTCTGTCTTCCCAAGGAACCATTACACGTGATGGGGCCCTGCTCTCCTGGAGATGGCTAAACACCTCCTGTCTTCAGGAAGCAGTGAATTAATTCATTGTTTTGCTATGCTTGTGTGTGCAGCTTTTGCTTTCTCTATTAAACTGTCTTTATCTCAACCCATGAGTTTTTGTAGCTTTTACCCTTCTAATTCGCTCCCCCATCCCATTGGTGGGGGAGTGAGTGAGAGGCTGTGTGGTTCTTGGCTGCTGCTGGGGTTAAACCACAACATCCTGCCAACCAACAGGTCCAGATCGTTTGGACCGTGGGCCAAGAAAGAGGGCGAGAGAGAGAGAGAGAGAGA